GAAGACTGGAAGTCTTATTGCTTTGTTCAATAAAATGTGCCAACACAATTCATTTCCCCCCTGGTTTTCAACGGACAGAACCTTTTGACATCAGCCTGGTTTACTCAGCACAGCTAAGTTTTCTAGGAAAAAATATTCAGAAGCTTTATGTGCTAATGTAAAACATGGATGAGCAGAGATTTAAAAATGAATGATGCCATGCTATTACTGGCTGATAGGGTATATGCAGAATATGAATACAGTGTATAGAAAGAGATTTACTGTACATATATATTTTCAATGTACTGTCTGCACAGAACCACCTAACTATGCACTATCACCACTATGTAATTCCCAGACAAAAAACTTCATTAAATTGGAGATAAGGTAGTAAATACATATCAATAACTTAAGTGGGGGAAGAAAAGTAATAGACTGTAGTTTTTACAATAAGTATGTGAATATCAGGAAATTCAAAGATAAGGTTATAAGTAAACCATCCAGACAATAGAAAATGTGGAAATCTATTCTCTTTTCCCATTCTTGCCACTTTGTGGGCCTTGAGTATAAAGGAGATAGGGTCTCGATGACAAGTAATCCCAGCTCACTGACATGTTAAATCCAGGATATGTCTGGTTTAGCCAGGAACCCTGATAGCTGAAGTCTTTTTACACTCTGCTGACGTTTAAAACCATGTTTTCCAGTTTACACAGAAGAGTAATTGCATGAGCATGAAGGGTTCAAGATGTCTGCAGATACAAGTCTGATCACTGCGGACAGTATTAAATGCCAGTAAGATTTCCAGTGCCTGCCCTGAAGGAAATTTGTTACTATTTCTTTAGATTTATACCAAATCTTTATGATTGCCCATCCTCTGCTCTAGGCACCCATCCATAAATTAATACACACAATACCAAAGGCCTTCTCATGCATAAATAAATATCCACCAAACCTCCAGTCTTGCCCAAAAGTCTGAGAATAAAAAACAAAACAATGGACATTGCAGTGGGTTAACAACTCTGGGCTCTAGTGGAGACCAATAATTCACCACTCATATAAGCAGCACGGGTTCACCAGTGGTAGTAGCCATAGTGTATATACAGGAGTAAAAACATCTGAACTCTACACAGTCACTTCCACCATTGCTGCTGCAAATGGAGCTGCATCAGTGAGCACCAGAAGGGAAACATGGGTCCCAGTTTTGCCCAGGTAGAGAAGCCTTTACTCCTTTCCCAGAAAGCAGCTGTCTTAAGGTGTCACTGCTTATTCTTTCAGTCAAGTATTGATATGGAGAAGGCTGTGCAATTATACAATACAAAGCCAACTTACTAAGACACAACTTACTTCAAGTTTTAAATCCAACCATCCTGAACACTCATATTTTTATTTCTAATTTATTTCCATTTTCATTCACCTCACTTAATTAAATAAAATAAATCACCACCCCCACATAATGAAATCAGATATTGGTATTTTAACTGCATTTTTACTTTTATATCTATTCCAGGAAAGGCAGATATACTTCTCTCTCAACTTTTCAGCAAGTCTATTCCCTGGCATTTCATGTCTTTTAAAATGTCTTTTAATGTCAACTGTGTGTTTTTAAAACAATATATTGGTCTATGTTTAAATTAATCTTTTCACTTCTATCTATTGGGAAAACAAAAATGGTGTGAGAACATCTTTAGAGTTTATGCCCTTGATAGGTCAACCAGAGTGTGGCTGAAACTAAAGTCCTACTCTGACCATGCCAACGGAAATGAAAATTATACCACTTGTACTAACAAGTACATTTCCAGAGGGACTAGAGGTATTAGAAGACTCTAAACAGATGCCTCTGAACTTAAAATACATTTAATTCCGAAGGCTTGTCTTGTAATTAATTTACCCAGTATAGAACCTATGAAGAGAATGTGAGGCATAACACTGCGTCACTCAGCAGTTTGCAAACTTCAAGGAGCATAAAGATAAATAATTTAATTAAAAAAACATTCACAATCATTTTTCACATTCATTTCTGTCAGGCTCATGAGTCCATAGTGGTGAACGTCAAGGAAAACATTCTCTAATTTATCGTTTAATCTCCTGCAAGAAAAATATCCATCTGCTATAAAAGGAAAGTGCCCACATAACCCACATCAAAAGGATATCACTCATACTTTAGTTTCAGTTTTTATTCACATTAACTTGGACTTCTGGTATGTAGGTCTGTAAACAGCCTATTGAACATGTGAAGCTTACGACTGACTGTTTTAGTAACACATATTTGAACCAACAGCTTTAACATGCCTCGTGTTAAAGCAGCTTGTATTTCATTAAGAACTACCAAATCTCAGCTGTTATGTGAGAACGGACAGCTGTATTTTTCTAGTATTAAATAATGCTGTGGAAAAAAAATGCTAAAGTTTCCAGAGCTTCGACTGCAAGTTTGTTTGAAATATTCTCACTGCTTTAAGAAATGCTAGATTTATTGATATAGCAAACTGTTCACCACGCACAATAATAAGAGGCAGATCCTAATTCCCCTACATACGTTCCCCACGCTTCCGCTGTTTGGTTTTGTAGTGTGATGAGTCAACCCCATTCAATTTGACCTCATCCCAAATGACACCAGATACAAACTGGTCTCATCCTGCAAAGCCTTATATGAATGAGTGTGAAAATGTAAATCTGAGTCCAATGGCAGTTCCATGTTTAGAAACTGTGCAGAATATGGGTCTGTATTTTAAAATAATATAGAGTTTTGAAGCTAGTAGCTCTAAGAGCTGCAATACTTAGTTGCATGGATTGCACAGAAGAATGTAAAAATGGAACCTCAGGTAAAGAGATAATATGACTCTAATTCTCAAATATAGATGCCTAAAATTAGGCACCAAAGGTTATGATTTTCAGAGGCCCAAGAGACTTAAGTACTCAGTTTCCATTATGAAATTCACAAAGGGGTGAATGCCAGGAGAAAAGCTGGAGTTGCTGTTAGATGGCTAAGTAATAGTGGGGATATTTGGTACACAAAATGCACTTGAGCCATTTGGTATTTGGGCAGGAGCAAAAATTGGGGGAGATAGGCTTTGAATTCCTACTACCTTATCATAAGATCAACTGACAACAGTTAGAAGCTCTAACTGCATCCTGCCCAAATATCCAAAGACAATGGAGAAGCACATTGGTTTCTACTGAGCTGTAGTGAAATGTTTAACAATACTGATGTTTACTTATCAATGTCTAGGTTTCAGAGTTAACTATTTATTAAGATGAGTAGGAGCAATTCATGCTTCTAGCAAATGCATTATTTCAGCAGCCAGAGGCAGACTCTACTACACTGATTGGATTCACATGTCCAAGGTTTTTCCCACAACTTTTTTTTGAATGAAACTAGGAAGCTGCACGTGCTGCTCGCTAGGCTCACCAACCCCCCTTTCTCTGGTGGCTTTTGTGGTCAGAAAGTGTGAGAGTATGATGACATCATTCTGTCACCCATCAGGAAAAACTTTTTTATATAAAGAGAGAATAAATCATAGATTCCTAGCACAATTGTGCTAAAAAATGAGAACTAATGTGGCCATTTAGGGTACATCTACATAGCAGCGTTATTTCAAAATAACATCCATTATTCCGAAATAACTATGTGAGCATCCACGCAGCTAGTCTGTTGTTTCAAAATAATTTCAAAATAAGAGGCAGCTTATTTTGGCATTTGTAAACCTCATTCCATGAGGAAAGTCGCCTCTTCTGAAACAGCTTTTTGGCAATAGCAGTAATATGGATGCTCCACTGCTGCTATTTCTAAATAGCTCTTCCCCTAAGCCATCCAAAGTAATTACTCCCCAGTGCTTTCTGGGGCTCTAAATCGACATAGCACATTCACATTAGGGGATCTTGCCTCGGACTAATTTCCAGGCTTCCCTATAGAGTAGACACGGTATTTAAAATTAAGCTATTTTGGAGTATTTCTTCCGGAATAGCTTATTCCAAAATAATCATGCAGTGTAGAAGTAGCCTTAGGCTTTATCTTCACTGCCAAAAAGAAAATATGTTTCCCCCCAGAATGTAGCTAGTTGAAGTTAAACTCACCTGGCATTTGTGGTGGCTAGCTATCACAATGCCTTGTCTCCGCTAGGATTTTACATCAAAATTTTTATTTCAGTGTAAAAGTGTATCTTTTTGCATGGAAGTCAGGCTTCAGGAGCTAAAGAATGACCTTATACACAGCTCCCTGACACTAGGTTTCATTATATTTTTACTTTATCTTTCTAACTATAGAATAATGTAGATTGTTCTTCCTAGATCTAATATCAGTGCAACAACAAACCTGGGATGTTCGAAGACATCTGGCCAGGTTTCCTGAACATTTATGATTGATGAAAGCTTAACAGAAGAAAAAAACCATATGTTTGGCTTTCTTTGCAATTGCAAGTGCAGATGCACTAGGCTACATGTTGGGCTGTCCAGGGCCTGATCCAACTCTATGGATGTAAACAGGAGTTTTTCCATTGAAGTTAATGGTAGATGGATCAAGTTGTTATAGCCCAAATAACTATTAAAAATCAGTTCAGTTGCACAGATGTGAAATAGTGGCAAGAATATGATTGAGTCAGTTTAGTTATAATATATTTTGAAATCACCTTCAAAATTTGTATGGGCAAATCATTACATATGCACAATTTAGTTTTACTTGTAATTATGCAGTTTGGTTTTACATGAACAAATAAGTGTAAAGGGAAATTTAATATGTAAAATTTAGGAGGCTGAATGAAAAATGTGTCTTGGTGATTTGAAGGAGTACTATGTCCTACGTGTTTTGTATTTCCTTTTGCTATCTATATTGCTTTATCTTTGTCATCCTACTTTTTAATTTCTTATTTTAAAAGTTAATGACAAAAATCATTTAAATTTTGAGTAAAATAAAGGTCAAATATCAATGATAATATCATTCCAATTTTTTACTAGCTTTGATCAATCTATATGCTTTAATTGTTTCCCTATACTAATTCATTTAATTTGTTTGCTCCTACTTCTGAAAGGTTTCTACCATTTATCCTAGAGAAGGAATCTTCAGGCATTTTGATAAATTCTTCAGTGATGAAGATGCACAGATATCATGGAAGTATGTGGCTACCATGTTGATTGATAGATATCTCTCTGAAAATTCTCCGGTAAGGATCTCCTATGATGAATATATTAACTCCTGCACTTCAGAGATGAAAATGTTCCCACTGATATTAGATACTTCTAAAATTCATGAAAGCTAGCACCCGATTTAATCTCCAGATTAAGATCCAGATGCTACAAAAGCCCTGCCTGAACTACACATCTTTTGACATCTTTGCAGGTGTTCAGGAACAGTAAGCAAGCTAAAAATGAGGCCTGTGCCAGCTGTACATTAGATCATTTAAATTTTACCTCAGTATCACCAGGGATAGGAACTATGGCAGACATAGTGACTGTATTCCTTGCATTATTCTAACAGAAAACCAGAAAATATGTGAGTTTCATGCCTTTAGTAATATTACAAACAGCAATACAAGTATAGGGCTCTAGAAAATCCCGGAAGAGGATTTTTCAGAGCTTCAAAGGACTGAGTTTTAAAAGAATCTTGTTTATATCATCCTAATCTCTGAGATTCAATGTAGTGTTTGTGGGGTCAGATTGGTGTATATGCAAATCTTTCTTTTTTAATATAGTGAGTAATCTACAAAGTTCTGCACTCTATGCAGGGGAATTATACAGATTTTTATTTTGGGCTCTTGAAACTAGCAAATGAAATAGCATCTAGGGTGAGAGGTACAATATTGGAAAATTTAATTGATTGATAAACATAGTCCTGGTTATTTTTTTTGTTTTCCTTAGGAAAATATATATATATATATTAGTGTTTACTTCTATTTGTAAATGCTTTGATAAATCAGACATTTTTAGCATTCTATCAATGGCAAAAATCTAATTGCCTTATTGTATTCTGATTTATTTCTTTCCTTACTTCTTTGCATCTGCAGCCCAACAAATGAGTCTCCAAAGAGATATATGTTATGATACAGTGTCAGTGAAATTAATCCTGATCAATTTTAAAGTTCACATTTTTATTTGATGACTTTCCAGGGAATCACTATAACTGAGATTGACTCACTCGCTTCTTTTGTTAGTTAAATATTGTTTGAAAGCACTGCAAACAACAAAAGAAATAGATCTCTTATTTCAGTTCTAGTGCTACCGTGGCCTATATAAGAAAAAGCAATATGAACTGATGATATTTTATTAATTTATAAATAGATACCAAGTACTATTCACTGCTATCACCAATTAAGACTTCTAAATACAAGCCTCCTCCTGAAAACTGTTACAATACAAGTCCTTACTTATGTGACATTTGGAATTGGGCCCATCTATTTCATTTGACATGATAAATATATATAGCTCTTTAAAAAGCATTTAGGGCATGTCTACATAGCAGGGCTAAACTTAAAATAAGCTATGCAACTTGAGCTACCTCAATTTTGTAGCTTAGGTCAAAATAGCTTATTTTGACTTTGGGCATGTCTACACAGCACTTATTTCAAAATAGATCACTCTTCCCCTGACTTCCCTTACTCATTATACAATGAGGTTTACAGAAGTCAGAATAAGAGGCCCATTATTTCAAAATAAATTGATGTGTAGACACACACTACGTTATTTCACAATAATTGCCATTATTCTGAGATAACTCTGCTGTGTAGACATGCCCTTAGAAAGGGAAGTTCTCTGCCTCAAAGAGTTTCCATTTAAAATTCTGTATTTCGTGCACACCCAAATTTGCCACTGAAATCATTTGGAGCTTGGGTTACAAACAGAAAACAAGGGATGGGTCACAACTGTATATTTTTAAATAGTTTGCACTTTTAAAACACTTAACTCTGCCCAAAAAAGATCATCTTGGGGTAACAAAGTCCATGTATAATAGCCATTCAAGAGCATAAATCACAGAAGATAAAACTACCTGTGCTTGTACTGAGATAGCTTTTCTTTTCTTTTTCTTTTTAATTTGTCAAAAGAATTATGGTTTCTTTCGGGTCATCATTGTCAGTGGTGATTTTGACCCAAAAGAAACAAAAGACGTATTGTTTTGGTTTCTCTATTCCTGCCTTCTCTAAATCAAAGAAGATGAGGAAGTACAGGAATTATTGCTATAAAAGGGAAATAATTATATTGTCTGAAGTGCACAACAAATCAAGTCTTACGCATTTCCCCTCCCACGCCAACTACCTCCTGGCTTGCTAAAGTTTAAATAGCATGACCAGTTTCTGCAGTGAAACCAGATTTTTATTTTTTTACTGTTAATGTCAAACAAACATTTATTTCAGGTGCAAAGCCTCAGGATATGTTACTGAAAATAGTGGCACTGCTGTTCTATAGCTTACTGCCCACTAAGTGGGTGGGAAAAGGGTACTGTGACCCTTTTACCCTTCCCACCAGTCTCCCTAACAGCTTTGGCCTTTGGGTCAGCTCAATTTCCCCTCCACTGAGTGGCCATTACTGTGCTGTGCCGTGATAAATGCTTTTTGTAAGAGACTGCATTGCCGGCAGCAAGCGCTAGGGAAGTAGGTAGCCTGGGCCAGACAGACTAAGCCAAGAGACAGATAAACTAACGTGCCTGTGCACTAAGTGCCTGTTACCTAGCAACATGATGGAGATCACAAAAAAATGAATAGACCCACAAACAAAAATGAAAAGGAGCTTAAAAAGAGTAAAAGTCTATGGGTCTCAAAGGTTAATATTCCTCTGCCTAATTACGTAGGTTCAGAAAATTGCATTTTAACCTTTTCAAAGCTTTGAGGACAGAGATTTCCTTGACACTGAGGCAGATCACATGTGTATAAAATGAGAGAGGAAAGAATTAAATGCAGAATTATTTATATCTTTCCAATATAATCCCCAATATTGTTTCATTCCCTTATTTTTCCTGCTTCTTACCACTCCTTCCATCAGCCCATATTTGACTAGTAGGGTGATCCCACAGCTGAGATGACGTCCAAAGAGTTGACCTGTTGGAGCCACTATTTCAGTGGCGGACAGACGGCGGTCTAAGGGCCCATCAGGGTTCCATGTGCAGCCCATGAGACATTTTGTTTGCAAGACTATGGGCATATCAAAACTACACTGGACTTTTGAAAGAGGATATGCAAATTCTGTGGGAATTTGCATATCTTCTTTTGAGATCACTTTCAAAAGTAGCACTTTCGAAAGTGAAAGTAACTAAGACATGGCTTTGTCGGTGACCCCTCCCGTTTGTCAACAAGCCACTTTTCCTTAAAAAATGAGGTTTACACAGCTTGTGGACAAACGGGAGAGTTCACCGACAAAACCGTGTCTTAATTACTTTCACTTTCAAAAGTGCCACTTTCAAAAGTGAGCTCAAAAGAAGATATGCAAATTCCCTGGGAATTTGCATATCCTCTTTCGAAAGTCTAGCGTATTCTAGATACGCCCATTGGCTGCGCCTAGACTGGCAAGTTTTTCCGCAAAAGCAGCTGCTTTTGCGGAAAAACTTGCTAGCTGTCTACACTGGCCGCTTGAATTTCTGCAAGAGCACTGACTGCCTACAGTCTGAAATCAGTGCTTTTTGCGGATATACTATGCTGCTCCCGTTCGGGCAAAAGCCCTCTTGCGCAAATGCTTTTGTGTAAGAGGTCCAGTGTAGAAAACGCAGTATTGTTTTGCGCAAAAAAGCCCCGATCACGAAAATGGTGATCAGGGCTTTCTTGCGCAAAACCGTATCTAGATTGGCATGGACGCTTTTCCGCAAAAAGTGCTTTCGCGGAAAAGCGTCTGTGCCAATCTAGACGCTCTTTTCCGCAAATGCTGAGAATCATGCCAGTCTAGACGTAGCCATTGTGTTACTGTTGCCCATGTGCAGGGTTGCCAAATTTTGCTAGTTACTGTCTGTGTAGGTTTTTTTCCTATCAGTATTACTAACGTTACACACACATAAAGCAAGGGAACGTGAACTGAGGTGAGTGCTGATTGCACACCATAGTGACCGGGAGAGCTGTGCGCTCCATCTGCACCCAATCAAAGCGCTGCAATGGTTCAGTCAGCACATTCTGCAAATTCTAGGTTTGCAAGTGCAGTTAGCAAAACTACCCTGTCCCAGGACACTGTCTTGGGTTACGAAAATCTCATGGCCCACTGAGATGAAGGAGGGCTACTCCTGCAGTCCACTCACTAGCCTTGGTTGCTCATTGCTGCAGTATTTTGCACTTTTGTATTGTCTTCTCTCAGTTCATTGTAGCACTTTACATGTATGAGCTGTGTCTAGACTGCATCCCTTTTCCGTAAAAGGGATGCAAATTAGACATATCGCAATTGCAAATGAAGCGGGGATTTAAATCTCCCCCGCTTCATTAGCATAAAAATGGCTGCTGCTTTTTTCCGGCTTGGAGCTTTGCCGGAAAAAAGCGCCAGTCTAGACGCGGATCTTTCGGAAAATAAAGCCTTTGCCAAAAGATCACTTATCCCTCTTAAAAGGCTTTATTTTCTGAAAGATCTGCGTCTAGACTGGCGCTTTTTTCCGGCAAAGCTCCGAGCCGGAAAAAAGCGGCAGCCATTTTTATGCTAATGAAGCGGGGGAGATTTAAATCCCCGCTTCATTTGCAATTGTGATATGTCTAATTTGCATCCCTTTTACGGAAAAGGGATGCAGTCTAGACACAGCTATGGAGTCTAATACCTCCCTTGTGAGGTAGTTATTGTTCCCATTTTACAGATCACAAAGAGGAGAGATAGCAACATCCTCAGAGTCACTTGGTGAGAGACCTGCAGTGCTGAGAATAGAACCCAAGATTTCTGGATTTTGGTCTTGGTACCTAACCATTAAATTAAAATCAACTCCCTATGCAGCAGTGCCTTCTCTCATCATCTGCATGTAAACAATAGGTTTCTAGATCCTGGCATTCTAGCCCTGCTCCCAAATCAGCCAGACACCCCAGTTAGTAGATGGGCCAATATAAAAATTGAAATGTAGCTTGAATTGACTGAAAATGAAGAATTGTCCTGTACGCTGAAGCATCAGAGAAGTATCTGCTTTCATCAGGAGTTTTGCTTATGCTGCTCTGTATTTTAAAAATACAAACCCTTCATATAAATAAACTCAGGGAGGCTGCGCTTTTAAGCACTGTGC